GCGCAGCCCAGTGCCTCCCGGGGGGCAGACCCTCCTGGGGCACTGGGAACCCTCCCTTTCAAGCTTCTCGAATGTGACCGCTAAGCTTCGTCATGTGCGGTTTTTATTTTTTTTAAATTAAACAAAGCAGAATTGTTCCCAGTGCCTCACACTCCTTCTGCAAGCCTAAAGGGGGTTAAACTCTTCCACTGCGGCTTCCAAGTTGAATCAGCCCACGGTGCCACCCCCTCCGCATTCCCCAGCCTGGCTCCTGGCTCCTTGCTGAGCATGGAGATGCAACTCTTGTGCTGGAGGAACCGACCCCGCTCCCCTCCAGAGGGGAAAGCGTCCGCCAGCAACCCCGAGGTGAACACATGCCTCCGTGGACCACCTTCCCCAGCACCCAGCAAGCTTTTCCCAGGCCCACCCTCGGCCGCCCAGGGTGAGCAGGATGCGGCCGGTGCTGTGCAGAGGCGCTCCCTGGCCTCACCCTTTCATGCTGATCTGCCAGTAGCCGCTCTTGCTGACGTTCAGGTAGTGGAAGTCCCCGGTGTAGTAGGCTGGGTCGCTGCCTCCGAGGATTATTTCCCCCCCTGGTTTCAGAGGAGCGTTCCTAGGGTGCAAAACACAGTGGAGTGATTCCCCCTTGGCTGCTGTCCCTGAAAAAATGGGGAGAAGGGACCAGCCCCAGCCGTGAGGCTCTGCTGACCCGGTTAGCAGCAGCAGAGAGCAAGACGGAGCAGAAGAAACCCCGAGTTAGTGGACAGGGTGCAAGAGCCCACAGGGGAGGGGTGCCCACATGCTGAGGTCTCCGAGCAGGTCGGTGCTGGCTCCTGCCTGGGGCAGGCGTGCAGTGGAGCCCGGTGTGGGGCGGATGCAATGTGTGAGCTCCTACGGACCCGTGCCCAGCACCGGGCAGGGCTGGCCTGGAGCTGGCAGCAGGAGCGGCGTCTGCTGCCCGGCCCCCGGGTGCACGGGTGACAGTTAGTGGGTGCTGTCTCGAGAGCGCCCGTGCTTTTCGTCTTCTTACTTCGAAGCTCTGCAAAGAGAGAGATGCTCCATCAGCCTGTGGTCTGAGCGCGGCTGTGGCCCCGGGGTGCTGAGGGGACCTGGGCAGCACATGGGACAGGCTGCAGTTTGCAGCCAACATCGTTAGGCTTTGTTCATTATCGATGGATCCACCTTTAGTTGAGGCCAAGAGCTATTGTGCCTGCTTTAAGCATGCATTTGTGGGTCTGTTTGTCACTGCACGCTGCCAGGCTGCTGGAGCTGGGGCCGGTGGGGAGTG